GTGCAGGCTGCAGAAGCAGGGCGTGAGCAGGAGGCAGCGGCGGCAGCGGCAGCAGCAGCGGGACGCGTGCAGCCCCGTCCCTGCTGCTCGCAGGCAGCAGCACCCAGCTCCGCAGCCGTCTTCCCAGGCACCCGCCGCCCGCGGGAACAGGGTGGAGGGCGCTGGCGTGGGAATTTGGTGCAGAAACCACCACCCCGCCTGCCAGGTGACCCCAGGCCACAGGTTTTGGTGCTGCCCAGGCCCAGCACCCTGAGCAGTTTCCCCGCTGTTGCAGGCGGAGGGCAGGCTGGGACGGCAGCGGGGCCACTGCGCTCGTGCGTGCAGGTACCTGCAGACCCGCGCAGGGCACGCACACGCCGGCCCGGCCGGGCGCTGCGCCTGCGCGGGTGCGCAAGCAGGGCAGGGTGCTGCAGGGTGCCCCTGGCGCTGCCCCACGCTGGCAGGCTGCGTGGGCAGGCGGAGGAGATAAATGGGAGTTTGTCGTAAACAGGCCTGGCTGCCAGCAGCGGTGGGGAGCGCCTCGCAGCCCGCGCTTAAAGGCGCAGGCTCTGGCCTCGCTCCGCTGCCTGCTCGCTGCCCAGCCTGGGCCAGGGCGGCCTGCCCTCCCTGCCTGCCCTCCCTGCCTGCCCTTCCTGCCTGCCCCCAGAGCAGCTGCCCTCCCCACGGGGGTTCCCGTCGCTGTGTGCCGTCACACCGGGGTGCTGGCACCGCGCTCCCACCGCCACAAGCAGGCGATGGCCGCGTCCCCAGAGTCCCCCTGGGACCACCGGGGTGCTGTGGGGTGGAGGGGCCATGGCTGCGGGGGTGAGTGTCTGCTCCCACCCCACGCAGGGTGGCGTGCCTGGCTCCGTGACGCAGAGCCCTGTCCCGTCTGTGTGATTTCCCGGGCAAAGGGTGCTGATAGCAGGTGGGGTGGAGCCGGCGGGGCTGTCCCTGGCCCAGGAAGGGACCTCGGCCGCCGGCGAGCACAGCGGGAGCCGGAAAGGAGCTGAGCCGAGGAGGGAGGCAGGGGCACCACCGGCAGCCCCAGCCCCTGGGTGCCAGGTACGGCCCGGGGAGCGGGCACCATCCAGCAGTGCCGAGCGGGCAGAGCACGGCAGGGTAGGCGCAGCCGTCCCAGGAGCGTGGGGAGCGCTTCTCCAGGCGGGGGGCTCGCAGGGGGCCCTGCGGGCAGGGTGGCGATGGCCCGGGGCACGGGGGCCGGGGCTGGCGGAGCAAGACGGTGTGGATTTCTGCCCGGCACGGGGAGGGCATGGCAGGGCGGCCCCAGCCCCAGGAGAGCTGCCTGCTGCGAGGAGAGACCCTTTCCCCCCGTTACCATGGCAAAATAAGCAGCTGTCATTAATAACGCATTGCCATGGCAACCGCTGGACGAGCGGGCGGTTCTCTGGGGTCCGCATGTGCTCCTGCTGGGGGGCTGTGAGCTCTCCCTGCACCCTGGCCGGGGTGTGGAGCCCACCATGGGCCTGGGTCGCGGGCTAGCACTGCCTGCTCGATGGGAGCATGCCCATGCCACCCTGCAGCCCTGCCACGATCATGCTCATCCCAGATCCGCAGGGACAGGCCGTTGGGGCGGGCAGGGACCGTGTCCCGTGCCCCTGGGTGCTGCCCTGTGTGGACACTGGTGCCAGTGAGCTTTGCCCCATGGGGTGGGCTGGCCCGGGCATCCCACCGCCTGGCTGTGCCGTGTGCCCCGTGGCAGCCCATCGCTCCCCGAGGGAGGGCAGGGAGCGCCGGCTGTGCCAGGGCGGGGGCCGCAGCCCCTGGTAGAGCCCGCAGCCCGCTGCGCGCGGGGCGGACAGCCGGGGAAAGCCTCTGCAGGGAGCGGAGACAGGGCAAAGGTTGAGCAGCAGCGCTCACCGCACGGCCACGGGCTCTGGCAGCAGTCTTGGGGCCGAGCTGTGCCCCGGACGTACAGACATCCCTGGGACGGACATCCCTGGGACAGGCATCCCTGGGACAGACATCCCTGGGACAGGCATCCCCAGGCCAGCCTTTCCCGGGCCAGACGTCGCCGGGAGCCCAGGCCAGCCGGTTCTCCCTGCTGCAGGGAGAGAAGCGTGGGGGCGG